GTGGAAATTGAAAGCTTTCTGCTAGCGAAAGACACGTTAGTGAGGTTTGGATGGTACGTTCAAAATTAAACCGTAATGTGGCTTACGGTGACTTCTGTTCCCTTCTATTGTCGATAAGAATTTTTCCGACTTGAGTGTCATTTTTCACTCTTACTGTAACTTTTTTGCTCGCACTTTATCAAAGTCGCATTTATTGAACGTTCTGTTGCAAAATTTAGCTCATAACACAATATGTTCAGCGTGAAAAGACATACTTCAGAAAAATGATGATTGAATTCGTTTCATTGCTGCTTAGTTTCTCGATAGACAGTGGTAGATCAGTTCAAGAAGCTTAGAATGATATTGCTAAATGTGAGCAAACGTCTTTCTACATCACAGATGCCAACTTTGTCTAATGCCTTTAATGCTATTTTCCATACATTTTCACTTTCTGTTTTTCAAAAATTATCTTTAATTTAAATTTAAAACTGTTAATGCATATCCTTGCTATCATGCAATCATATCACACTGATTAATTTCATATCTTCATTAATATTCATGTGATTTTCATTCATGCAAGCAAAATGACGAAAACTGCTACTATACAAAAAGTTTTATTACATTGTACAATATAAAATTTAGTAAGTGACAATGAATGGAAGATTAATAAAATCATTTTTTTGTACTGCAATGTAGTAATTAAACATAAATATGTCGGACGTGACAGTAATGCTTTGTAATAATATTATTAGACGTGGCGGCAGTGCACTGAAAATAGTACACTGGCAACTAATTACGATTTTTGTTACGTTTAAAAAGTGAAAATTTATTTTTAATTAAAACAAAACAGTATGCCTTCGACGTAAGCAATACTGCTTTGGTATAGGTATAGGTAAATTTGAGTTAATACTAGTAAAATTACTAACTGGTTTCTGGGAGGAACTTGATGTCATCTTTAAGTGTTGAACTAAACATACAAGCTATTTCGTAATAAAATTATGCCAAGTTTTTGCATCTATCCCTTTTCCTATTCATTTGGTATTCTCTTTCCAAGCAATTTCCAAATGTCTTTTTCTTTTTTCTGTTCCGTTCACTGACAATTAAAATCGCATAAATTGACGGACGATTTCGCAATTTATAGAAATAATTATAATTTTATTAGCATTATTATAATTTTAAAATCACTTTCTCTTTTTTGCTCTTATTTGAGTTAGCATATAAATATTGCAGTTTAGATTAAATTTTACTTGCAAAAGTAATTCATTAACATTTGAAATTCAGTAGAGTGTTTGTATGAAATGAAATGAATAATTTTCCAGCAGTTTAATTTTAAAGGTGCGGGAAATTTTTGAAATTTAATGCTTTTGCATCAATGCTATCATTTTATTTAATATTTAAACTGATTTATCATTATACTTTTTTTAATTGTTGCTTAATTACAACTCTGTAATTAAAACACAAACACTAAAAAATTAATTCAAATACTAAATAATCCGTAATGTCTTCCTTTTTAAGTCAAATTCATTCACACATTTAATATTCAATTTGTGCATTTTACTTCTGCCTCTATTAGCACTAAATCATTTAATCAATTATGCAAAGTGACTAGTGAGTAAATTTGCATTTAAAAACTTTTTGAACTCTTGTGCAAAAGTTGATTATCTTGATTAGTTTTAAAGAACAAAAGTATTAAGCACTGAACACGTTCGTACACTCACTGAGTGTGCGCTTGAATTTCTTATTATCATTTGAGTGAAGATTCAAAATTTTTTATTTCACCCAAAAATATAGTCTGATTTGATCAGCTTGGAATTGCATAATAGAGTGTGAAGATGAACGTAAACAGTGAAAAATTGGCTGCAGAACTTCGAAAAGCTGTGTCCTGCAGAAAAGCAGGTTGATTTATTCAACTTGCATCATATTCTTAAGTTTAGTTTGGTAACAAATGGATTAGTACAACTTTTGTTTTGCTTAAAATTTTTAATTATTCAAGCCAAAAATATAGCCAGCGTGAAGTGTTTATTATTTGCTGCAGAAATAGCTAAGTTAGAGGAAGAGTTGGAAAATTCAAAGGTACATTCAGACATGTTGACATCAGTTCTTGCTGAAGGTTGGTTTTTTTTCAACTTATTAGTTTCTGTCTACATCTTAGAGCAAAAAATAATTCTGAAAATTACTGATAACCTTTTATTTTTCTATTTTTTTGGTGGTTGCTGGCAACTCTTAGTTGACTGCATTAAATGCTTTAAATTTTGGTGACGTACAGGAAGAGCAAAAATAGCAGCTAACAAAATCAGAATCGCTACCTTAGATGCAGAAAAAGTGGCATGTGTTCAAATGGAAAAGTTAGATACTGAACTGCTAAATAAGTAAAATTATTTCAATATATTTATTATAATATTTCAATAATTGCCTTTTTTAATAATAATTTGCCATTAATACTCCGAAAGGTTGTATAAGCTATAAAGTTTCACAATTTTTTCATAAATTTACTGCATTGAGATTCATTGCAATGCATGATAAAGTGAAGGCAATGAAAGAAGCTGCGGAAGGACGTCTTAGTCAACTTCATAACGATCTCGAAGATATAAAAGATATCAAAAGCACTGTCATTATCTATGAAGAAACTTTGAAGATACTGAGCAAAAAAATAAGTCTTAGTCTCATCTTATTGCTCTACTTAAATTCTTTCCATGAAAGCAAATTCATTTGTCTATCATATTCATTAGTGTGATGAACAGTGCAAAGGCATACTTTGAATTGTATGATTCTTTATGCATGCTTCTGCATTATAAGTTACGTGATAACCAAAGTTTACCAATAAATTTTTATGCAATTATTTCTTCAAATTTCAAATGAACATTCAAGCTGTATATTATTTCTTCAGAGATTTGGCATTGACGACAACTCAAGAAGTGTCTATGAAAAACTTGAGGCTGCACAAAGTGAATGCAAGTTTTTTTTTGATTGGATTAATAATTTTTGCTTCATTAAATGTTAGTCAAAAGCAGTTTTTTCAGTGCAGATATTATCAAATGAGATTGAGGAATTAGAAAAAAAGGAGCATGCATTGACCGACAAAATAAACTTTGTTCCGCAGGGTGACATACCACTGACAGTTAAGAACAACATTTTGTAAGTTAATTAGTTTAAGATCTATTATAATACGTTTGTTTTTGAACTAAATTTTTCACCACTTCATGTTTGATATGCGATTCCAATAAGCATTGAAAATCAAAAATACACTGAATTCATTTTGCAGTAACAACTTGAAGAATCGTAAGGGAGCGTTACTCGACAAACTTATACAAGCTAGATGCAAGCGAAATTATTTAAACGCACGAGCTTCTATTATCAATTATTAACATTTAAATATGTTTGAATGCATTGTTTTTGGCTTTTTTCTTACAATGTTTACATAAACTAAAATTTACCATTGGTATCATGCTATTGAGTTTTGACAATGTAAGAGCAGAAAAAATTTCTTATTTTTTTTAAACAATGCAATACTGATGCAATTTAATATCATGAAAATAATCACTAATTATTTAGTATACATTAGAAATCATTAAAGTTTCTGAACGTTGTTAAAATAAATTAACAGACAATGTAATTCTGCATGACTCAAAGTGTTTATATAATTAGATTTATAAAAAAACATGCGAACATATAACAAATCAAAAAATGAAGAAGTAACTGCACAATTTTAGTTTCTATTTTCATTTGTTAGCAGCCATAAAAAAGTCTTCAAATGTTAATTTATCACTTATTTTGTCTTTTTCAAGACTGATAATTCTTCTACCTAAGCACTATTATCTGTTCAATCAATTTGTTTTTGATGAATGATTTAATTTATCAAAGTAAAAAGGAACGAAACTATAATAATTATGCAGTTACTTTTCGGCCAAACGAACCAAGACATGGACAAGAACGAAGAACTGAAGACAAGAGCGTACAACAGTTATTGCCCAAATTTGTAACGGAATTTGACTAAGTAAACAAAAAGCCATCAGTGTGTTAGAGAAAGTTCTCAATTCAGATTTTTGCAAGATCAGTGCTGGCAGAAGGATTAGCAGCAGAACTGTGTTGAAAATCAGAGCAAAGTAATCAAAGTATAAATGCAAGCGGAGGATTTGCTTGTCAAAGTTGGTAAGTGCGTGGAGCAAAGCGGTTGACATTGCTAAAGTAATCTGAAACATTTTGCAATCAGAAATAATAATCAATCGGCTTCCCATATTTGCTTCAAAGTTTTGATCGGAAAATTTATTTGAGACATTTATGCTTGCTTTAGCACTTTCAAGAAAGTTATGAATAGAAATGACTTACTAAATCATAGCCAAGCAAAACATAAGCAAAATATGCATGTGTCAAAACTGAGTCATATGACATTTTGATGGGAGACCAGAATCTAAAAAAATTTCATTTCATGGCCATTAATGACCACAGGTGAAGGATAAATTTGCAAGACCACAAGTGTCCCCTTCATTTGTCCTTTGAGTTTCTTAATACTTTGCAAATTATGCAGTATTATTTTTTACATAAGTTTATTTAAAAACTTACACAAAACATCCATTTTTGAATAAGCGTAAGATTATAGCAATTAAAGTCAAACCGACATATATGTACTCAAAAACAGCCACTGCTGTACAACCACAGCGAACAAGACAGGATGATACACAGCAAAGAGGTTCAAGCTGCAAATGACGGTCACGTATTCTGTAAAAAAGAGGATAATGTCTACTTTAGTCTTTAAGTCTAGTCTTTTATCAACATATGCTAAAGGTTTACTTGGAGGTGATGGGTATAATTTTGTTTCTTCTCCTGCAAGTATTTGTTGGTTGACTATTGAAATCCAAGAACGATTTTTGCCAGTTAGAAATAATTCTCGCCGGCTCTAAATAAAATAATTTGCTTTTGCAACTTTTTTCATGCGTGAAAATATATCTGATGTTAATCCTCAACAACAACTGGTAAGAAACCCACGTGAACGTATAAGACGACTGATAAAAATGATTAGCCACCTCATTACTGACCATCGTGAAGT